GACACTAAATAGCCAGGTTAAAAACCATTCAAATTATGGTTCAATCTTTTCTATGTTTCTAAATAACTGAGCTTTCGGTGGAAAGGTTCAAATGGAAAACATGGCTTGAAAAGTTCAGAAGTAGGAAGGAAAGTGTGGAGATTCTGGAAAGTTTAGGGTGGTTGATGGAATAAAGGATAGCTAGAAGGTGGATGGATATTTGGGAAAGAGGAAGAAGGACATTGCTAGTTTCATTAAACCTTTAGGACTGAAATGAAAAATAAGTAAGTTATACATATACTGTTGGCTCAAGGCTGAGGAGAGTCAGAAACTCTAGATTCCACACCCAGGATAATGGCAGGAGCAATCCTACAATACTATAGCAATTGTGAGAGAGGCTCCGAGAGAACCAAAGCATGGATGTGGATATCATTTTACAAAAGACAAGAGAAGCCCTGCACCCACGCCCACCCCCTGCCATATAGATCTAATAGATCTATCTGTTGTGAAAAAGAGTCCACTGCCTGGGATTCAACCTTAGCAGCAGTGACAGTGACCAAACGAGGAAGACTTGATGCTAAAACTGGGCTACAGCCTAGAGCACAATGGGTTCAGCATGATAATTATAGCACAGGTTTCATTATCCAACGCAAATTGAAAAGTGTATTGGCTGGCAGACAAGGCAAGAACAAGAACATTTTGTAAAGTTTGAGTTTCCTATAATCAAGGTATCATAATTTGGACAAATGTCAAGTGTATTTTTACTTTAAAGAACAGAGGCATTGCATAATAGATATCTAAACCTCTGTGTATCCCTCCTCCACACATTTTCTGTTCCAATGAAAAAAAATTCTAAGCATACCCTAAATGTTTCATTTTAATATGTACAAAGCATGATTCATCATTTTCCTTTCTTCAAGTACAAATCAGAATCATTTTGCCCCACTCCTTAAACATCCATGTCATATCTTAATCTAAGCTCTTTAGAAGGTGTTCTTTCCATCCCTGTCCTTTATCAACATTGAGTTTCTTTTAATCTGTGTACAACCCATTGCCCAATTTCCTTGGAATTGTTCACATCACTGCAAATGCCTTCCTTAGTCCAAACCATCCTTTAGTTACTTACTCATCTCTATTCTACCACTTACTGATTTTATAACCTTTAGAAAGTTACTTAACCTTCATAAGCTTCAGGGTATTTTTTCATATTTAAATTAAAGATTCATTCTTTATTATTTCAAAATATTATACAAATGTGTTGCTGCATGGATAGCTTTTACAATACTTGAGTCAGGGCTATGAGTGTGCCCATCACCCAAATAGTGTTCATTTTACCTGCTAGGTAGGTTTTCACCCCTCCCCACCCTCCACCTATTGCCTGCTTGATTTCCAATGACTTTTATTTCCCTCTGTGCCCATGTGTGTCCCTCAGTTAGTTTCAATTTATTAGAGAGTACATGTTGTGTTTGTTTTTCCATTCTTGAGATATTACACTTAGGATAATGGTCTCCAGTTCCACCCAAATTGCACAAAAGGCATTAATTCATCCTTTTTTATCGCTGAGTAGTCCTCCATGGTATACAGATACCACATTTTGTTAATCTACTGGTGAATTGATGGACATCCAAGTGTAGATGTCTTTTTGATAAAATGAATTCCTTTCCTTTGGGTAGATACCCAGTAGTGGGATTGCTAAATCAAATGATAGGTCTACTTTTAGTTCTTTGAGAAATCTCCATGCTGTTTTCCATAGACATTGTACTAATTTGCAGTCCCACCAACACCAGATAAGCGTTCCTTTTGTCTGCATCCATGCCAGTATATATTGTTTTTGGACTTTATAATAAAAATCTTTCTAACAGGGGTAAGGTGATAACTTATTATGGTTTTAGTTTGCTTTTCCCTGATGATTAGTGATGTTGGGCATTTTTTCATGTGTTTGTTATCTATTTATCTTCTTTTGAAAAACTTCTGTTCATGTTTCTTGCACATTTTTTAATGGGGTTGTCTTTTCTTGCTGATTTGTTTGTGTTCTTTGTAGATTCTGGATATTATCCCTTATTTGATGTATAGTTTGTGAATATTTTCTCTTATTGTGTAGGTTGTCCATTTGATTTATTATTTCCTTAGCTCTGCAGAGGCTTTTTAATTTAATCAAGTCTGATTTATTCATTTTTGTTGGTGCTGTAATTGTCTTTGTGGTCTTAATCACAAATTATTTGCTTAGGCTGATATCTAGAAGAATTTTTGCTACACTTTCTTCTAGAATTCTTATGGTTTCATGCCTTACATTTAGGTCTTTTATTTACCTTGAATTAATTTTTTGACTAGTGAGAGATAGAGGTTCTGTTTCATTCTTCGTGTGGTGATCCAATTTTGTCAGCACCATTTATTGAATAGGGCTTCTTTTCCCCACTGTATGTTGTTGTGTGCTTTATTGAAGATCAGTTGGCTCTATGTAGATGGTTTTCTATCTGGGTTCTCTGTTCTGTTCCATTGGCCTATATCTCATTTTTATGCCAATACCATGCTGTTTTGGTTACAACTGCTGTGTAGTATAGTTTGAAGTCTGGTAATGTGATGACTCTAGGTTTGTTCTTCTTGTTTAAGATTGCTTTGGCTATTTGGGCTCTCTTCTGTTTCCATATGAGGTATAGAATTACTTTTTCTAGATCTATGAAATATGATGTTGGTATTTTGATGGGGATTGCATTAAATCTGCAAATCACTTTGGGTAGTATGGACATTTTAATAATGTTGATTCTACCAATCCATGAGCATGGTATGTTTTTTCCATTTGTTTGTGTTATCCATGATTTATTTCCTCAGTGTTTTGTAGTTCTCCTTACAGAGATCTTTCACCTTGTTGGTTAAGTATATTCCTAGGTATTTTATTTTCTTTGTGGCTATTCTGAATGGTACTGAGTCTTTGATTTGATGCTGAGCTTGACTGTTATTGGTGTATAGAAATGCTACTGATTTGTGTACATTGATTTTGTAATCTGAGACTTTACTGAAGTTATTTATCAATTCCAGGAGTCTTTTAGTGGAGTCTTTAAGGTTCTCTAGATATAAGATCATATCATCAACATAAAGTGATAATTTGACCTCCTTTTTTTTGGATACCCTTTATTTCTTTCTCTTGCCTGATTGTTTTGTTCTGGCTAGGACTTCTGGTATGATGTTGAATAGAAGTAGTAATAGTTGACACTCTTGTTCTAGTTCTTAAGGAGAATGCTTTTAACTTTTCTTCATTCAGTATGATGTTGGCTATGGGGTTGTCATATATGAATTTTATAATTCGAAATAGTTCCTTGTATGCCTAATTTGTTGAGGGTTTTCATCATGAAAGGGTACTCGATTTTGTCAAATGCTTTTTCTGCATCTCTTCAGATGATCATATGTTCTTTGTTTTTGTATATGGTGAATCGCACTTATTGATTTATATATGTTGAACCATTTTTGCATCCCTGGTTAATTCATGCATTTAAAAATATGTGTTGGGCTTATACAGCAGTAAACAAAATTGATGAACATCTCTGCCCTCAGGAATTTTTCATTATAGTGGAAAATATAAACAATTACCAATACAAGCAAAATACAAAAAAATAGGTCATATAGTAATAAGCACTTCAAAATAAAATAATGTAGTACAGGTGGCTAGAAGTATCTTGAAGGGACATCAGAGAAGAGCTTCTCTTACATATTTGAGTAAAGGTCTAAAAGAGATGACCTGATACATTATGTATCTAATATTTCAAGATAAGCATATCCAGCATGGAGAATAACAAGTGTGCAAGCCCTAAGGGAGAAAGCAAGTATTGTAGAAGTAGGATAAGTAAGGCAGAAAAAGAATAAGAGGTAAGGGGAGTCCACTCATATAGGGCCTTATAGATCCAGGTGAGGACTTTGATTTTACTTTGAGTGAGAAAAGACTGTATTGGAAGTCTTTGATCCAACTTGCATCTAAAAAGATCACTATGACTGCTCAATTGAAGGAGGGTAAGGGCAGAAGGAGGAAGATCACTTATGATACCAGTGCAATAATCAGGTATGTGGTGATGGTGGCTTGAACCAGAAGTGTAGTACTAGGTTTGTCATGGATGGATTTTATAATTTTGAGTTATATTCCTTGTATGCCTAGTTTGTTGTGGGAGGTGATAAAAAGTGGTCAGAGTTTGGATACATATGGAAAGCCAAACTGACCAGACTTATTGAAGTAGTGGAATGTAGGAATAAAAGAAAAATAATAGTTAAGGACAACAGATTTTGTTTCTGAGCAATTATAAAAAGGAAGTACAATGAATGCTCCAATCATGAGACTCCAAAGCAGGAAACAATTCAAATTCCCATGTGTAAAGAAGAGATAGCATTCAAGGGCATATTAAACAATAAGAAAGAATGAACTACTGTTATATGCACCAATATGGATAGATATCAAAAACATTATTGAGCAAAATAAGTCAGATATAAAAGAAGTCAGGTATAAAAGACATCATAATTTCAATTTATCTGAAGGTAAAAAACAGACAAAATCATGTATGATTACAAAAATTGGTACAGTTGTTATTTCATTAGCATATCGAAAATGACCAAGATGAAGAAAACATCATATCTCCATTGTGTGATAGTTACATAGTATACACATTTGCCATAATTTATTCAGTTATATACTTAAGATTTGTTCATTTTTGTACATAAAAATTATATGCCAATAAAATACTGTTACAGTTAAAAAAGTTATAAAGATGAAGAATAATTAGCAAAGAGACCTAGAGGATCAAATTAGCAGCAATAAAATCATATTATGATGGCCTCAGAACCAACTGAAGACAGTGTTTCAAGGCAGATTGTATTCAGTAGATCAGAGAATCTTCAGAATTAATTAATCTTCTGTGATAAGTGCTAGTGACTATGTGCTGACCATTGAATGTAGCACAGTAGAAATCATTGATGACTGATTAGAACAATTTAGGTAGAGTAGTGGCACCCGATGTTTAACAAAAATTCAGAAAGAGAAATTGGCAAATAGATGTAGATGTTTAATTAATTGACACAGAGCAAAAGGGATGCTTAAGTCAAGTACTGGAGAAGAAAGTTTGGCCAAAAGAGAGGTTCCTTTTCCCAGATAGGATGAATAATAGCATGCAGCTCTGTTGATGGAAGTTACCTAATAGAAAGAGAAAAACTAATAATAGAACAAAGTCTGAAGAGACTTTAGGACCATGTCGCTGAGTAGGTAAGTGGGGATAAAATCTAGTACAATAATCAAAGGCTAATAACATTTAAATCTAAGATTTGTTGTGTGTGCGCGTGCATGTGTGTATGTGTGTAAATGTAAAATTAAATAAGATGATGAATTGTGCTTAGCAGAGCACTTAAAAACACATTTCTCTAAGCATCAGCTATTTTATTGCAAGTTAATAATCAACTCATAGACAAATGTGAAGTAAATGTTAGAAGTCTTTTATCACTCTTGAGAGGTGGGAAGTGGGAAGTGACTTTCCTTGATATTTTGGGAATCTCCAACTTTGTCATTTAGACCACAATGTGCTCACATCTATATATAAGTACCGTATTCACATACATGTGAATCATAATATAATTTCACATTATAGTGTTTTGTAATCTGTGTTCCTCTTTTTCTGATTGGGATAACAACATTAATTTGTATCTATGACACCAGACACAACCTGGCCACCTTAAATCCCTAGTAAATGTTTGGAAAATGAATAAACCACTGTCATTGCCCCAGGTACATCTGTATTCACAACCTTACCTCTTATCATGCTCTAGAAGGCTCTAAATCCCACTGGAGTCATGCTAGTCATCATGAAATAGCTGGAGCAGTTTCAGGATCCTAGTAGTTCTCAAAGTGTGGTTCACAGAACAGCAATGGCAGCATCTCCTGGGAAATTGTTAGAACTATAAATTCCTGGCCTTGCCCCAAGCCTAATGAATCAGAAACTGTAGGTGTTCAGCCCAGCAAGCTGTGCCTTAACTCCAAGTGATGCTGATGTACACTAAAGTTTGAGATCCAACACTGTAACCTATCTTCTTGTTTTTTAATTCCTGGGAAGAATTAATTGAAGAATTTAATTGGACTGAGAAGATGCAAAGAAACACCTGATTTACACTTTGATTATTAACCAGAGATTTCATTAACCCTGGTGTTATACTTTTTCCATTGGCATACCACTTTTTTTCAATTATTAGAAGCAAAACATCATAATTACTTGCTCTTGTATTCTTTAAATATCTTTTTCATTCAAAGACAAATGTGAAGCAAAATGTTAGTCTTTTATCACTCTTGGGAGGTGGGAGGTGGGAAGTGACTTTTTCCAAAGGCGCAGAGAGCATCTTTTCTAAATAGTTCATAACTTCTTGACTTTGGGGAGATAAAAGGTATGATGCTGACACTAATGGCTTTTACAAGAAACTTTTAGATGTATTCAATTCTGGGGAATCCCCATTGCCCTGGAAGAATTCAGAAGGTGACGCAGTGATTCTAGAGTATCTGGGAAGCTTGGGAAAGACCAGACACATGAGAGCATAAATATAGAAGAAACTCTCATTCTTAAAATCAGTTCTACTACTGTAACTGCAACATAACTTTGTGAAGGTTATTTAACCTTCCTGGATTTGTTTTAATGTCTGATAAATAAATAGTTCTGATTATTTGGTGTTTATGAAAAATAGGACATGAATTATAAAAATTTAATTGAAGTTGAAATGTCCCCTCTCATCTAATTCTTCCCAAAGAACAATGTGCCATTGTAAAGCTTGTTCTCTTCACCCAGGTTGAGAATCACTAGATCCTATGTCATTAAGATCCCTCCAACTGTAAGATCCCATAACTATTGCTTAGCTGAAAAAACTTAGTACCAAAAGACAAAATGATGATTATGCTGATATATTAATATGATAATAATTTCAATATCAACGCATTTTCATTACCTACCATGTCTATTGGAACAAACATACAGACATGCTCTTTTCAGAATATAAATTGTTTTACTTAAAAAACAATTTTTAAATGAATTAAGAAAAAATTTATTTATAATCAAAAGTGAACGGAACACAGCCAAGTTATAAAATTTCATCTACAATAACATTATAGAATATATAATGTCTTTAAACAGCTGAGAACCTGGTTCTGGGAATTGCACTATGAATTGGCAAACATCTCTATGTGAGAGGGGAAAATGAGATTGCCACATGTATTAGTATAACAAATTGCCACACATTTGGCAGCATAAAACAACATCCATTCATCAGCTTACAGTTCTGTAAGTCATGAGTCCAGGCAGGCTCAACTGGATTCTCTGCTAGGCTCTGATAGCCTGAAATCAAGGGGTTGACTAGACTAGGCTCTTATCAGGATTTAGAAGATTTCACTGATAGGTTCAGGTAGCTGGCAGGATACAGTTTCTTGCAGTTGCAGGATATACATCATTTCCTTGCTGGCAGTCAGCCCTGAGCCATCTCTGCCTCTAGCATTCCTAGACATGTGGCCTCCTCCATATTCAATGTCAACAAAGGTACATCAGATTCCTCTTGTACTTTGAATCTGTGACTTTACCTTTTGCCACAAGCTGGAGAAAATCCTGTGCTTTTAAAGGGCTCCTGTGACGTGAATAGGTCCACCCAGGTAATCACCCTTTTAGCATCTAAGGTACTATAATCATGGGAATGATATGTCATCCATTTGCAGGTTTCACCTAACACTCAAAGGGACACATCACTGGAGGTCATTCTTAGAATTCTGCCTACCTTACCACTTCTTTCTAGTGAATAATAAGCCCTAGGAAAAAGCCCAACTCTAAAGCTCTACTTTTTCTAAAAGAGAGTTTGAAGAGAGAAGATACCAAGGTCAAAGAAGTAAGGAAAGAATAGGAGAGACAGATGGGAATGAACAGGGGTAGCTCTTAGAAAAAGGGTATACTGACAGTCTTGTCCCCTTGTCTTCAATGCGCCAGCTTCCCTTTTTCCTGCTTTCAGATGGCCTGGATCCTAATGTTCTTTCACTCTTACCCTATCAAAGACCACAGGGACAGAACTATTACAATTATATAATGTCAAAACATGAACATAAGCCAAGGCGTTATTATGTCTAGGGTTATTTGCACCCTCATTGCTAATCATGACATAAAAAGTCTTCCCTTGTTGAAGATCCGGAATTTGGGAATAAACCAGAGAAGTTTTGGGGAGACAGGGTGCTTTCAGGTGCCCCTAATAGTTCACCAAAAAAAAAAAAAAATCACCAAGATGCTTTTATATAAGGCTGGCTCTAAATATGAACTGGTATCAAAGCCTTTTTTCCAAACTTGGCAAACTACTTGGGCTGTCTGTTTCTGGTGAATTATATTAAGTTGGAACATTTGGATGGGTATCCAAGTATACTCCTAATTGCTTCTAAGACCTCTCAACCAATTGGACGCAAATGTCAGGTTGTACTTGAAAAGGCAGAGAGCTAAAGCTACAGGGCTGAAGTTTAGGAAAAATGGACTTTTTGTGGCTCCCAGACTCACTATTCTGGGCTATGAGCTCATTCCAATATTAGTGAGTCCTAGAATTCATCACCTTCCAAATGCTAAAATAAAATCAGGGAAATGTCATCAAGTTGTTAACCATTATTATCTATTAAAGTAGCACTACAGAAGATGGGGAAATCACCTAATAAAGCCAATCTTTCTTCTTTATATCACCTAGAACTGTCAGGACTCCAATAAATTATAATGGATCCAACTTAAAACCAATGACCTGTATATTATACATGGAAAATCCCTCTTATCTCAGCAGGTAACCAACACCAGACTTGTCAATTAGGATTGGAGAATGTCAAGGTTAAATGTTTCTCAAAGCTTCTGATGTCTACCTTTCAAGTTTGAACCACTTGAGGTGTTTGTTTACTGACTCTTGGCAAATGCACTTTTCTATTTCTAAAAAATGGTGAACTTTACAAAGAGCTCTTATAGAAAGTACAGCTCTGCAATTATGTTAGGCCAAATGATTTATAAAGAGAAGCATATTGGGAGAAAACAAATAAAACCTTATAGAACCACCAAAGTAGCCCTATTTCAAACAGTAAAATCTCTGGCAAGCTTTTTTTCCAAGTATCAGTTTCTTCATCTAAAAATATGGATATAACAACACTTAAAATTATATTAAAAATTAAATGAAGATGAAATAATATATTTAAAGTACCTGGAACATAACAAATTCTGAGTAGATCTAAGATATTACTGGTAGTATTACTTTACACAATGTCTATTCATTTATGCAACAATTATTTAATTATCATCTATATTATATAGGTGTTAAGGTAGGTAGATACTGGGAATTTAATAACAAATAGGCCAGACATGATATCTTCTCTCAATGAATTTGTAGATTAGTGGTGGGTAGAGATAAACAAGTAATTATAATACAGTTATTTGATAGGAGAAATATGAAGTTTAATGGATGCATAAAGCAAAATACCTAATAGTCAATGGTCTGATAGGTTTGGAAATTCAGAAAAGGCTACCCAAAGGAAATAACACCAGTATTGCATTCTGAATGATAAGACAAAATAAGGTAGGCTCAGTGGTGATGGAAAATGCTCAAGGCACAAGGCACCAGATATGCAAAATCTTGGAGGAGACAAAGCATGGTGCATGCCAATGTGTGAGAACAATTCAGAATGTATGGAACATAGGGTTGAAAGAGATTCCGTGAGGATAGCTTTTCCTGTCCCTATCTCAGTATATTCCTGAAAAGCCTTGGAAGGTCACAAGGAGAAGCTGATCAGAATCCCAATCTCTTTGCAGCTCAGGTTGTCTCTAAACAATGATAAGTCAGGGACAGCAAGCATTTGTGGAAGCAGTGTGATGATGTCTTTAGCTATTGGGTACATGTAGAAGAACAAGAAGAATCTAACACACATTGAAAGAGAACAGTACAGCAGTTTTTGAAATGTAATACAGAGTTAAAATATAGGAGACGAATAGTAGAAACTGAATTACACTAAATTTCAAACAGAAAACCTATCTGTTGTCTTTGTTTATGCCTAGATATCCTGTCCCCTTCTTCCTTCCAGTTATCTGTGGTGCTCAACTCCAAGGCTGTGGCCTGGTACCCATCTGTGGATTGTTAGGAACCCAACTCCACATCATTGCCTGAGCTCTGTGCCACTAGTGCCCCCACCCTGTCCAGAAAAGTTGTTGGGCTGCACAGCAGGAGCAGGAGGTGAGCAGCAGGCGGACAAGTGAAGCTTCATCTGTATTTGCAGCTGTTCTCCATTGCTGGCATCACTGCCTAAGCTCCACCGCCTCCTTGCCCCAGAAACTCCCAAACATCCATGGAAAAATTGTCTTCCATGAAACTGGCCCCTGGTGCCAAAAACATTGGGGACCACTGTTCCAGTAGACTTACTCTTATATTTGGACAACAACCTAAATGACTCCTCTATGGAGCTTTCTTCAACCCCACAAGGCAGAATTAATTCCTCTTCCAGTATATTCTCATAGCAAACTGCATTTATCTTCATTGGGGGTACTTTCCTATTCTTTTATTATTATGTATTGATATATGTATGCTTCTTCCCTGCAAAATGAACTCTGAGAGGGAAGGGGTAAAGATATCACATAGATATTCACATAGATATCTCTGGTATGGTTACAGAAGTCATGTTTGGTAATATTTAACTAAAGAATCTGCCATTGTAGAATTCTTATAAGCAGTCTACAGTCAATAATTGGGCTAAATTTCCAAAAAGTATTTGATAAGTTATTACTTGAAATTTGAAACATTTACATATAGAAATGATTGCATAGGGGAAATTAGCTTGCCAGGTGATACCCTAAGCCCTATTAAACTAAAAATAATTTCATTATAATTTCTTTGGGAAAATATGACCCAGGTTTCAAAAGAGGATGTCAGGAATAACTCCCATGTACCCTTACTTCCCCTACACTAAAAGGAAAAGTTCCCACCTTTCTATTAATACTATGGATTATGAACAGATTGTTCTCTTCATCTCTATTCACTGGATCCCCAGGATGGAGTAAGCGGATTTTCTGAATAGAAAATCAGAT